CTTGCCCAGTGAAGTAGTTGACGCTACTTCAGTAAACGTTTTTAAAGATAAGGTAGATATTTTTTTGAACAATAAAGGAATGAGAACGCGGGTAAGTGGATCTGAGTCCACAAAAAGATCAGCCATGATCTTATTGAATGGCAGAGCAGGCTCGAAGGGCCGGACGGCCTACTCCTGCTCCTAGTTCTTATGTTCTTATGTATCAACATAAGAGGCTGAATATTGACATGGTCTCACTAGAAGCACCAGGCTCACTGGGAGTGAATCACTTTCCTCTTTCTTGATTAAAGACAAAATCCGGTATCTGCAGCATTTTGCCTTCATCTGCAACAAACACAGAGACAATTCACATCAGACTCTGTTCCTCTCTCACAGGTGCTGCCAGAGCTGCTGAGTTTCTCCAGCATTCCTCTGCTTACTTCATAAGGAACTCACCGTTCTTGTTGATAAAAACATCCAGAAAAGATTCAGAGCATGTTCTCTCCATCTGCCTCTTGACTCACACAGGGCCAATTTACCTTCTGACTATCTGAGCTCCAGCACTTTGCTTTGGTACAGAGGTGAAAGACCAGGTCTATAATGAGACATGAGCAGAATCACTAAGTCAGAACATTTTTAATGGCTGAGACGATTTCAACACAGGACTAAGAGTGTGGAACAGGAGGTGTAGCCCTCCTGCCTCAGGCACTCTGGTCTGGGGGAGTTAAATGAGAATAAACAGCGACTATTTGAGCGTTGCTGCTACCATGAGCTTAGTGTAACAAAAAAACATGTCTCACTGTGTCCCAGAGGTCAGGCTACAGGCAGCATCAGGATGTGATCACAGAGAACAGCATCGTGGCTCAGTGGTTAGCACTGCTGCCTCACAGCACCTGGGACCCAGGTTTGATTCCAGCCTTGGGTGACTGTCTGTGTGGAGTTTGCACATTCTCCCCGTGTTTGTGTGGGTTTCTTCTGGGTACTCTGGTTTCCTCCCACAGTCCAAAGATGTGCAGGTCAGGTGGATTGGCCATGCTAAATTTCCCATAGTGTCCAGTGATGTGCAGACTAGGTGTGTTAGCCATGGGAAATGCAGAGTTACAGGGATAGAGTAGGGGTTAGGCCTGGATGGGATGCTCTTTGGAAAGTCAGTGTGGACTCAATGGGCCAAATGGCCTGCTTCCACACTGTAGGGATTTTATAACTCTATTTATAGAATAGGGATTCTATAATCACTAGCAGACATGACTCTGTGAACAGCATTCTCCTCTCACACAGCACCCATCTGCTGACTGTGATAATGATTTCTTCCTGCTGTGCGTCAGGGTTGGGATACACACTTGGCAAAGGTTTTCCAATCAAGACAGAAATGTCATTCTCATATCTACATTAACCATATGCCTATTCAACGACTCGACTGAATGATTATACCCCACACAGGGTCCAAGATACTGTCTACAATAAACTGATGTGGCTACAGCCTTGGTACATTTTCCTACCAACATTACAGTTTAAATTATGAACATCCTGGTCTTATCACAACCTGATAATTTTTTGAACCACCTTTTCCATTGCATCCTGTCTTCAAAATCTTTTTAAATCTTCAGAACTGGAGAAGAGTCACACTGGACTCGAAATGTTAACTCTATTTCTCTCTCCACAGATACTGCCAGACCTGCTGAGTTTCTCCAGCAATCTCTGTGTTTGTTTCTGGCCTTTGGTGCTGTTATTTTAAGGTCCTTCAACCCACCCCCCGCCACCTTTGGGAAAGGTGTTTCTAACCTTACTCACAGAGGTCTGAAATACTCCCAGAGCTCCATCTTCTTGAAGGACTCAGTCACTTGCCAATGTGACTTTCTTTTACTCTCTTACTCACCCACACTGCACCTTTCTCCCGCACCTCTTACCAGCCCTGAGGTGGAAGTTTTCTTCTGGAGAGCTGCTTTTAACTCCGCCACTGCTCCCATGGGTGCCATTACCTGCTTTTCTATTTTGGAACTGACTGACTGTCTGAACCCAGTCATGTCCTTAAAGCAGCAAACTCACTTGTCTTGTGAAAATCCTTCTTTATTTTCGTTGTTGTTACCTCGAGGGACTTATGCAACAATCCTAACGCTGCCACCATGTCATATGTGGCAGTGTCCATATGTGGTTGGGGTAGAGTGCAATCCATCTTTCCATGTCATGTCTAGCAGTAATAAAGGATAAATCACTATTGAGTCTTATCAGGGAGAGGGATTTGTCCTATGCAACATGATACAATTTATTGCGTGAAAGCGATCGGTATAAATTACATTGATTGGTTATGCATTATTATAAAGAACTAGAAACAAGACATCTGCCTCCATCGAGTCATCTTGCTGGATCGCACAATTCTCCACCAGAGATTGTGTGGCATCATCCAATACTATACTCCCAACATATGGGAAGCAACAGTGGTAGAATGATGATAGATACAAGGCTAACATTGTTGTGGTAGAGCCGATCATTAAAACCAACCATCCACTATCATTCATTGCACAAGAAGCTCAAACCAAAAACGTTCTGAGTGCAGTAACGGCTGCTCGTAGTAAAGTCTGACAGACTGCTGGGAAGCACGGCAACGATGACTGGTTTCAACTCTGCCGGGATATTCAGAAGTTTTTAGACATAGGGAACGCTGGGACCACGTGCGAACAGATCAGAAAGGCAATAGATACATCAGCAAGGAAAGCATAGAAAACAAAGGCAGGGGAAGTCATGACTGACTGCAGGAGTGAAGAGGTAGGTTCAACATGACCTTGAGTTGTAATCTAGAGGAGGGCCGGGTCACAATAGACACAATAGAAAGTCTGTGTGTTGTGGCATAGCTGGATATTAAATTCACTGCTGCAAGTTCAGCAAAGCTCTAGACTCACTCATCATGAACAAATTCCAAGAGCTGATGTGATACGCGCTGAACTCTTCAAAGACAGGACCCCACATGCCTGCAGTAACTGTACAAACTGGTCGGTCTCTGCTGGAGGGAGGGGGCAGTGGTCCAGGGTGTGAATAATGCAAAGATGTAGATGCAGAAGTAGGTCATTCAGGCTGTCAAGTCTGCTCTGCCATTCAGTGAGATCAAAACTGAACTGATCATCTTCAACTCTACAGTCCTGCCTTTTTCCCTTAACCCTTGATTCCCTTCCTGATTAAAAATCTATCTCAGCCTTGAATATAATGAATGACCCAGCCTCGACAGCCCTCTGCAGTAAGGAATTCCACAGATTCACTCCCATCTGAGAGAAGAAATTCATTCTCATCTCTGTCTTAAATGGACAACTCCTTATTCTGAGATTATTCCCTCTGGTCCTAGACTTCCCCACAGGGAGAAACAACCTCTCCACATCTCCCCTGTCAAATCCCCTTCGAATCTTGTGTTTCAATAAGGTCGCCTCTCATTCTTCTATAGTCGAACAAGCCCAATCTACTCAACCTTTCCTCATAAGACAGTCCCTCCATACCCTGTATCAGCCTAGTAAATTTTCTCCAGACTGCTTCCAATGCCAGTATATCTTTCCTTGGATAAGGGGACTGAAACTGTTTACATTATTTCAGCTGTGGTCTGACTACACCCTTAAATAGCATAAGCAAGACTTTCCAATGTTTATAATCTATTTCCTTTGCAATAAAGGCCAGCATTTCATTTGCCTTCCCTATTACCTGCTGAACTTGGATGCAGGCTTTTTGTGAGTTATGCATGGGGACTCCCAAGCCCCTCAGTGTTGTAGTTTTCTGCAGTCACATTAATTGTGACACTGAGTGTGAGATGGAGGTGGTGTAAGGGAGAGGAGACAGAGAGAAAGAGAGAAAGGAAGAAGGAAGAAAGAGAGAAAGACAGAGAGAGAGAGAAACAAAGAAAGAAAGCAAGAAAGGAAGGAAGGATGAGTGAGGAAGTCAATAAACTGGACAAACAAAAATCCTGATGTCAAACCTACCAATGGGTTACTGACAAGTATCTATGTCAGATAGAGCAAACAAAGTTGGCGTTTGTAACCCCGAATGGGCTGTATCAATTTAAAGTAATGCCTTTTGGAATGAAGAACACACCAGCTACATTTCAAAGACTTATGAACAGAACTGGGACAGGATTAATTAATTGTGCTCCCTGTATAGATGACGTTGTGATTTTTAGCCATTTGTGGATAGATCACATGGTGGATTTGGCAGAGCTCTTTGAAAGACTATGGGAGACAAAACTGGTCATAAATTTATCAAAAACTGAATTTGCAAAGGCAGAAGTGATGTTCTAGGGACACAACATCGGAGATGGGAGGGTGACCCTGAGGAATGTAAAGACGAAGGCCATCAAGGAATTTCCAAGACCATGCTCGAAAAAGGAGGTTTGAAAAGATTTTTGAGACTTGATGGATTCTACCAGAAATTTGTGCTGAACTTTTGTAGCGTGATGGCACCGCTGACAGACTTCCTAAAGAAGAATATGAAATTTTGGTGGACAGAACGATGCCAGGAGGCATTTGAGAATTTAAAAGCCATGTTAACCAACGCACCAATTTTGGCCACACCAAATTTCTGGAAACCCTTTAAAGTCGCTATCGACACGAGTGATATCAGGGCTGGAGTTGTGTTGTTGCAGGAGGATAACTGTGGAATTGAAAGGCCAATCAGTTATTTTTCAAAGAAACTCAATATTCACCAGAGAAAACATTCAACCATTGAAAAAGAGTTAGTGAGTTGGTACTGGTCTTACAACATTTTAATGTTTATGTTACAAATAATGTTTCAGAGATGGTTGTGTAAACAGACCACACCCTCTCATCTTTCTGGAAAGATTTAAGGATAAAAATATGAGACTATTTCATTGGAGTCTTATGTTATAGGCTTTTAGTTTACAAATTGTACGTTGCAGGTTGTAAAAATGTTATGGCAGATGTGTTGAAAGAAAATGTGTACATAAGATAGAACTGGTACGGTCCAATGATATATGTATGCAGAGTTAATACACAATGTGTAACTTTAGATTACTGACCTCTGTATTTCACGATAATGGCATTAAGACTTCGAAGGAAAAGAAATGAAGCCATTTTTCCTTAAGGGGGAGGTGTTGTGAAGTTGCAAAGTATTTGTGAATTGAAAGACAGGAAGCTAGAACGTGTTTGCAAAACTAATAGGGGGAAAGAGTGCGTAGTCCCTTTAAGTGGTGAGGTGTTTTTGTGCTTGGAGATTTTTACTATGTATGTCTGTGAGCAGCAGCCGGAGGTTGTACAGATAGGCCCAAAATTGAAACAAGTCTATCAAAAGGCCTTGCAGTTGGCAGGCAAAACAGCAGTTTTGTTTTGGTATCTGGACACCAAGTTTGAATTCAGTCAATCATTTTGAACCAGGGCCTGAGCTACCAAAAACCAATTGAATTTAAATCTGATGGTGTTGACAACATTGAACCTCAGTAAGAATTGCTATTATATCATTACGGTATAAAGATGAGGGCATTTGGAAATTTGGAAGAGAGCCAACTGCCATCTGAGGGGAGAGCCAAACTTCAGCTGCAGCGAAAGCAAGACCACCATCTGAAATACAAACCTGGCTTTCACTAAAAAGTTGTTGAGCTCTCTGAGAAGACCCATCAAAGGTACTACAGCATTTTGGCTCAAAGTCCTCACCAAAGAAATTAAAGAGAAAAACAACCAAGACAGCAGAATCAGCAGAAGAAAGGCATTTGTGAAGTGAGCAACAGAAAGAAGATTGGAGATAAAGCAGAGAAGACAGACTGTGCGAACTTGAAGAGATTAAGTCTTAACTTTTTTTTTATTAATTGGGTTGATATAAGTGGGATTTGTGTTTATTTGAACAGCATTCCAGTGGAATTTAGACCAGTTAGGAAGAAGTTAATGGTTTGGGGGGAATTGTTCAGTTTGTTCATAATTCTGTTAATTTGTTCATTGTTAGGGTTAAACAAATAAATTATTTCTCATAGATAACACAGCTGGAGGAACACAGCAGGCCAGGCAGCATCAGAGGAGCAGAAAAGCTGACGTTTCAGGTCGTGACCCTTCTTCAGAAATTATTTCTCATTATTTGTAAAGTGGAGATCAGGGATTTTCTTTCTTCTAACCACTCTTCTAACAGATTACAAGGGTAAAGGTGAGCTTCTCTGGGTGTTTCAGGGGTAATTATTAAAAGGGAACCTCTATTCTACAGGTTGCATTTTGGTTTAACTATCAGAGACGTTCGGCCATGCCCCCTCCATTACACCGTCCACTGTCTCAGATGTATCTTCAGTTCCCTTGGCAGAACAAGGTGACCAACTTGGAGGTTCTGCTGTCTGCTCATTCCATCAGCATATTCTCATTGCTAAGGTGTCTGCACTGGTTCATTATTTGCCCAAAGACTCTGTGCAGTGAACTGCTCAATGAGTCAAAGACTCCTGGGCATTCAGAGCCCAGCTAGGAGGACACCCATGAGCAAGATATGTCCTTCGATCATTGACACTGAAAACTGGGAGACAGTCGCTGACAGCCATGATCTTTGGATATTTCCCAATCAATCTGTTCAGAGATGTTATTAAACACCTCTGGAGCTGGTGGGGCTTGAGAATTTGGGCCTCCTATCTCAGAGGAAGGTTCACTACCATGATCATTGGAAGCTGCTGTTTTGGAGGAGCTTGGGAAGAGGCTCACAGAGAGAAGAGGGTCCAGGGAAATCAAAATCCATGGAATCCTGCACCTTCTCAAACCATTACCTTCCTCGAGAATAAAAAAGCCAGAGACTGCAATGCTCTTGAGCCACCCCAGGAGATGTTTTACACATTGTTGTGTTGACCAGCACAGTGCAATCCATCGTCTTCCGTGACACAAGACTGCCACTGAGCCCCCTTGTTATTTGGTCCAGGTAGAAGTTAAGGCTTGAAGTGCGAGTAAGAAATTCTCTCCCTCTTTCCCTGTCAATATTCCTCCCCCATTCCACTCCTGATGAAAAGGTGGCCATTCTGAGATGTTGCTGTACACAAAATGAATGCTCTACTGACCTATGCAACAGCCATCAGGGAAGTAAATTACTCCATGTAGCATTTTCATGTGCCATTGAGATTTATTTTCTTATTTAATACACACATTTTTCTTATTTAATACACACATTTTGTTTGCTTTATGAGGTGCAAAGCAGCTCTATTCCTGTTGGTGGTGCTGATGAGCCACCAGTGGATGGGGAGCTCAGCACCACCCCCAGCAGTACTATTGTGGAACTGCAGGTCTTCAACGTAGTGATGGGAGAATTGGCACTGACAGGGGCACAAAACATAACAGAAGTAGGAGCTGAAGAAGGCCACTCAATCCCTTCAACCATTCAGTAAGCTTCTGGCTGACCTTCAACCTCACATCCACATGCACATACATTGTCCCTCAATGCTGCTGGGACCCAGAAAAACTATTGATCTCAAACTTGAATAAACCCATTAACTGAACTGTCACAACCCTCTGGCATAGAGAATTTCAAAGGTCCACTACCATCCGAGTAAAGAAATTTCTCTTCATCACAGTAACAAATAATACTCAACTCCCTACTGTGAGACTGTGACCCTGTTTTCAAGAACCACACCCCACCACCCCACCCTCTCCCCCACCGCTCCCCATCACCACAGCCAAAGGGAAACAAACATATAGAAACATAGAAGATAGGAGCAGGAAGAGGCTATTCGGCCCTTCAAGCCTGCTCCACCATTCTTCATGATCATGGCTGATTGTCCAACTCAACAGCCTCATCCTGCTTTCTCCCCATAACCTTTGATCCCATTCACCCCAAGTGCTATATCTAGCCACCTCTTGAATACATTCAATATTTTGGCATCAACTATTTCCTGTGGCAATGAATTCCACAGGCTCACCACTCTTTGGGTGAAGAAATGTCTCCTCATCTCTGTCCTAAATGGTCTACCCCAAACCCTCATACTGTGACCCCTGGTTCTGGACACACCCACCATTGGGAACATCCTCCCTGCATCTACCCTGTCCCGTCCTATTGGAATTTTATAAGTCTCTATGAGATCCCCCTCTCATTTGTCTGAACTCCAGCGAAAACAATCCCAACCTTGTCAATCTCTCCGCACATGTCAGACCCGCCATCCCCAGAATCAGCCTGGTAAACCTTCGCTGCACTCCCTTGAGAGCAAGAGCATCCTTCCTCAGAAAAGGAGAACAAAACTGCACACAATATTCTAGGTGTGGTCTCACCAAGGCCCTGCATAACTGCAACAACACATCCCTGCTCCTGTACGCGAAACCTCTCACAATGAAGGCCAACATACCATTCGCCTTCTTTACCACCTGCTGCACCTGCATGTTTATCTTCAGCGACTGATGCACAAGGACACTAAGCCTCCTTTGGCAGCAATGTGGGCAATTCAGGATGGGCAAGAAATTCAGGTTAGTCACATCCCATAAATAAACTTTGGGTGTGTCCTTTATTAAAATTCTTAACATTCATTTGATCCCAAGCTCAAAGAATAAGTGTGTGCTGGAAGTAACAGAATATAAATATGTTCAAAGTAGGAACAGATGCCAGAGGTCATGCAGAGATTGTTGAAAACAAGATTGTTTAATGTTTAAATGATTGAGAGAATGCAGGATAAGCATTGGGGGTGTTAAGATAGCGGTGATGCCCTCCAAGGTCAAATGTCCAGTCAGCACTGTGCCCTGGAGGACAGGCTGGCCCAGCAAAGTGCCTTGTGATGTGGGTGTGGAGCAGGCTGTCTCCCAGGAGAAGGAGAAATAAAAACAAAGAACTGTAGATGCGGGAACATAAGAACATAAGAAATAGGAGCAGGAGTAGGCCATCCGGCCCATCGAGCCTGCTCCACCATTCAATAAGATCATGGCTGTTCTTTTCATGGACTCAGCTCCACTTACCCACCCGCTTACTTTAGCCCTTAATTCCTTCACGGTTCAAAAATCTATCTACCTTTGCCTTAAAAACATTCAACGAGGCAGCCTGGCCTGCTTCATTGGGCAGGGAATTCTACAGATTCACAACTTTTTGGATGAAGAAGTTCCTCCTCAATTCAGTCCTAAATCAGCTGTCCCTTATTTTGAGGCTATGCCCCCTAGTTCCAGTTTCACCCGCCAGAGGAAACAACCTCCCAGCTCTGTCCTAACTATTGCCTTCATAATTTTATATGTTTCTACAGGATCCCCGGTTATACTTCTAAATTCCAACGAGGACAGAGAAATCCTCTGATGCTGCTTGGCCTGCTGGGTTCATCCAGCTCTACACCTTGTTATCACAGAGAAATAGCGCTCAGTTTTGGTCTCCCTGCCATAGGAAAGATGTCATTGAACTTGAAGGGTGTGGAAAAGATTTTCAAAGATGTTGCCAGGATTGGAGGGTTTGAGCTATAGGGAGAGGCTGAAATAGGGCTATTTTCCCTGGAGTGTTGGAGGCTGAGGGGTGACCTTATAGAGGTTTATAAAATCATGAGGGGCATGGATAGGATAAATAGACAAGGTTTTTTTTTCCCTGGGTTAGGGATTCCAAAACTAGACGGCATAGGTTTAAGGTAAGAGGGGTAAGATTTAAAATGGGACAACTTTTTCACACAGAGGGTGGTGCGTGTATGGAATGAGCTGCCAGAGGAAGTGGTGGAGGCTGGTACAATTACAACATTTAAAAGACATCTGGATGGGTATATGAATAGGAAGGGTTTCGAGGGATATGCTGGCGAATGGGACTAGATGTATTTAGGATATCTGGTCGGCATGGACAAGTTGAACCAACGAGTCTGTTTCCATGATGTACATCTCTATCACTCTATGACTCTATTTATATATGAAACACAGAAATTGCTGGAGAAACTCAGCAGGCCTGGCAGCATCTGTGGAGAGAGAAACAGAGCTAACATTTCGGGTCCAGTGTGACCATTCTTCAGAATTGCTTCAGTTGTGAAAAAGGACGATGGATTTCTTTTTTTATTCACTCATGGGATGTGGGTATCACTGGCTGAGTCAGCATTTAGTGCCCATCCCTAATTGCTCTTGGATGCAACTGACTGTCCTGATGGGGCATTTTCGAGGCAGCTCAGAGTCAACCACATCGTTGAAAGTCTGGAGTCACATGTAGGCCAGAGCGGGTCAGGACAGCAGATTTCCTCCACAACAACAACAAAAACAAAGTTGCTGGAAAAGCTCAGCAGGTCTGGCCCGCATCCGTGAAAGAAAAAACAGAGTTAACGTTTCGGGTCCGGTGACCCTTCCTCAGAACGGCAGATTTCCTTCCCTGAAGGACATTAGTGAACCAGATGAGTTCTTACGACAATCAACAATAGTTCCATGGTCACCATTAAATTTAAAAACAGAAATTGCTGGAAAAATTCAACAGTAAATTCACGGAGGCCCAATGCAAAAGTTGAAGAGGTTGTTAATTCTAGTTCTGAAGATGAGTCACACTGGACTCAAAATGTTAATTCTGTTTCTCCCTCTCCACAGATGCTACCAGACCTGCTGAGTTTCTCCAGCAATTTCTGCTCTCATTCCAGATTTCCAGCCATGTGCAGTATTTTGCTTTTTTCATTAGATGTTTAATTTGGTATTGAATTCAAATTCTACCATCTGCTATGACGGAATTCAAACCACAGTCCCCAGGACATTCACTGCTCACACTGTGGCCTCCTTTCCACTGGTGAGGCCAAACACAGACTGGGTGCCTGCTTTGTAGAACACCTCCCTTCTCTCTGTAAGAATGACCCTGACCTCCCAGTTGCTTGCCATTTCAGTAAACCACCTCTGAAATGATTTGAATGATTTATTGTCACTTGCGTTTTACAGTGAATAATTCAGTAAAACACAGTGAAAAGTTTTAACTGTCACCACAATCCAGCACCACTTTGTATAGTTTAAGAATAAAGAGATATAATTGAAAGGGAGTCTATCTTTGTTCTGCCATAACTGCAGCGGGTCCTTAGCGCTGAGCTGGTTCACAAACAACACCTGCTGTGCCACCCTTCTGCCAACACCTTACCACCACCTGTGCCAGACCCACCAACATAGAAGTTACCAGGCTTTAGGCACTATCTTTTTGCCTTGATCCATCCTGGGCCATTTACAATGTTCCAATCAAGCACAACACAAGCTCAAGAAACTACACCTCACTTTCTGCTCAGGTACTTTCCAGCCTCACTTCAATAATTTCTGAAACTGAGTACGTCGTGTCCGCCCTTTAATTCCCCTTACATTCTCTGACCATGCCCGCCCCCACGCCCGCAGCCTTTGTTGTGTTTAAAAACCGAAAGAACTGCGGATGCTGTAAATCAGAAACAAAAACACAAGTTGCTGGAAAGGCTCAGCAGGTCTGGCAGCATCCGTGAAGAAAAATCAGCGTTCATGCTTCGGGTTTGATCACCGGACCTGAAAGGTTAACTCTGATTTCTCTTTACAGATGCTGCCAGACCTGCCGAGCTTTTTCCAGCACCATCTGTTTTTGTTTCTAGATTAATAGTCCAGCAATAATACCCACTAGGCCATTGCCTCCCCTTGCTGAGTGTCCCCAGCAAGCTCTGTGTTTAGTCCCCAGGACATGACCGGGGATCTGTGTAAATCACGAGCTCTGTGGGACCACATCACTGCCTCCCCTGAAGGGAAAAGAAGAAGAAAAGAAATATCTTGCCCTCCCGAGCCAGTTTCCTGGAGCAACTCCAGCAGTGAAACAGTGAAGTGATCAGGCTCCAAATGTAGCATTGCGCACGAACACTTTCAGTTTGCCATTGCCTTGCAGTGGGGATGGAAGAGAGAGACAGAGAGAGAGAGGAGCAAACTTCCCCACTGGGCTGGAAAGTTGAATGAAAGCGAGCGGCTGATGGATACAGTGTGGCGCAGAGGGACAGCCTGATACATTTCAGGAAACTGACACACTGTATCCAGCTGGCGGCGGCGGTGGGTCGGGGGGGATTCCCCCCGGTCCTCCCTCCTGCAACATGGGCGGTTGTAGCAAGGCAGAAGTTTACCAAAAGTTCCTGGCTTACCACCAGAAGGATTTCATCGCCGGTAGCCTGTCTCCCTGCACCGGGGCTGAACAGCTCCGCCGAGGCAGGGAGTTCCTCGATTCGGTGTCCGCTCCGTGCCAGCGCTTCCAGCAGCTGGATTTCTACCGCCTGGCCCAGGAGTTTGTTGAAGCCAGGGGCGGAGAGGGGATGAGGGAGCAGCCTCTCGGGGCCCTGGGTAAAGCCTTTGAGCTGCTAGAGCTGATCTCCATCAACCTGTATCTGTGGCCCTGGAGAAAGGAGATCAAGTCGATCAAGGTCTGTTTGTGCTTGGGGAAGTAGCGTTGGGTGGAGGAGGGAATGGGGTCGGTCATTAGATCTGGGGTGAAACATTTTCTCCGGGCTGACACTGTCAGGTTAACCTGACGAAGAGACCTACTCCGGATTTCAATTTCCTTGCAATTCCCTCAATTTCTTCCCGCCTCACCTCTCCACAAAGAACACACCCCCCCCCCCCCGGTTTCATTTTCAAAATTATAACTGAGCATCACTGATGCAAACATTCTGCTTGGAGGATTCGGACATACAACATTGAGTTGAACTTCACTCACCTGGAATCTTTTACCCCCGAGGGTTGGACAGGCTCCAGACTTGGATATATTTAAGGCTGGGATTGGTTTTGGAGGGGGGGTGTGGCAGAGAGTAGGTGGGAAAGTGGAGTTGAATTCCGAGGTTATCAAATCATACAATACAGAAAAGGTCATTTGGCCCATCAAGTCCATAGCCATAAAAGATCCGCCGAGATAGCGTTGAATGGTTTGATGGGCCGAATGGTCTGCTCTTGCTCCTATCTTCTACTTTATGGTCCCAGCTTTTACTCAACCCCACAACACACTTACCAACCAACATTCTCTCTAGCCCATTCAGAGGGTCTGTGCTAACACTTTCCCTTCAAAGGTCTACACAGCAGCTGGTGAAGTTAGAGGGAATATAGCGACGACCACACCCTCCCCGGAAGGTCCTGAGATAGACCCACCTCAACATTCTCCAGCACTAAACCCTGGAGCAACACCAGAGCCTAAAAATTAATCCCAGTGTGGGGCCTCGAATCCCTCTGACCTTGTTCAACTCCAGGTGTAAGTGTGTTTATTGTGTAACTCTTGTTCTCCTGGGAAACTGATACTGCAATTCTCATGTGAAAGCCATTGCAACAACAATGTCTTTATTTAGCACTCTCTTCATGAAATAAAACATCTCACGGGAGACTGTTGCTCAACAAAAGGAGGAAAGCTAAGAGTTAAGTATGGAGGGATTGTTTTATGAGCAAAGGCTAAACAGGTTTAGGTCTGTAATCACTGGAGTTTAGAGAATGAGAGGTGATCTCATTGAAAGTTATCGGACTCTTAAGGGGCTCCAGGGTAAATGCTGAGAGGATGTTTCTCCTCATGAGTGAGTCTCAAAATAAGGAGGTTTCAATTTAAAACTGAGATGAGGTGGAATTTCTTCTTTCAGTGGGTTGAGAGTCTTTGGAACTCAGAGAGCTGTGGGGTCTGAATCCATGTGTATATTTAAGGCTGAGATAGAGAGATTGTTGATCAGTAGAGGAATCGAGGATTATGGAAAAGGACAGGAAAGTGGATCTGAGCAATGTCTGATCAGCCATGGTCCCACTGAGTGGCAGAGCAGACTCAAGCAATTGATCCCGCATTCTTGCTCCTCCTTTAATATGGCCTTGTTGGACCGAGTGTGGCATCAAGCAGCCTAGCAAGTTTGGAGTCAGTGGGACTCGAAGGGGCAGAGGAACTCTCCAGTGGTTGGAGTCATACCTGGCAGATAGGAAGATGGTTGTGGTTGTTGGAGGTCAGTCATCTCAGCTCCAGGACATCTCTGCAGGAGTTCCTCAGGGTAGTGTCCTAGGCCCAACCATCTTCAGCTGCTTCATCAATGACCTTCCCTCCATCATAAGGATAGAATTGGGGATGTTTGCTGATGGTTACACAATGTTTCAGCACCATTCATGACTCCTCAGATACTGAAATGGTCCATGTTCAAATGCAACAAGACCTGGACGTTATCCAGGCTTGGGCTGATCAGTGGCAAGTAACATTCATATCACATAAACATCAGGCAATGAACATAGGAACAGGAGTAGGCCATTAAAACCCTTGACCCTGTTCTGCATTTCAGTGAAATTGTGGCTGATCTCTGGCCTAATTCCATATACCTGCTTTTGACATATATTTGGTACATATTTGCTTAAGAAAAATTCATCTCTCTCAGATTTAAAATTAACAACTGATCTAGCATCCACTGCTGTTTGTGGAAGAGAGTTCCAAACCTGTCCCACCCTTTTGTGTGTGGAAGTGCTTCCTAACATCTCTCCTGAACTGCCTGAACTCTCCCATATCCCAGCCCCCCACCCCACACACCAGGCCTTGTTACCACATAGCCTGCCATTACATACCCCCGGTTGTTAGTCACTAACAGTCCCCATTAACAACTATTCACCATCCCAGCCTGATCGTTAGCAACTCCTTTGTCTGTCCAACTGAATTTCTCTCTCTTTGGGCTCTATCCTATCGTTTACTCCCTACCCCACCCACCTCCCTATTTTCTGCATATAAACTGACGTTTTCCCAGCCACCATCAGTTCTGAGGAAGGGTCACCGGACCCGAAACGTTAACTCTGTTTTCTCCTCCACAGATGCTGCCAGACCTGCTGGAGCTTTTCCAGCAACTTTGTTTTAGTTCCTGATTTACAGCATCCGCAGTTCTTTTGGTTTTTATCTCTCCTGAACGGTCTGGCCCTAATTCTCAGACTAAGACCCTAGTTCTGGAATCCCCAACCAGTGGGAATAGTTTATCTACCCTGTCTCTCCAGGTTAATACCTTGAAGACTTTGGTCAGATCACCTCCTTAACCTTCTAAATTCTAGACAATAAAGGCCTAATTTGTATCATCTGTCCTCATAACTTAACCCCTGAAGTCCTGGTATCATTCTTGTGAACCTACATTGTACTCCCTCCAAGGCCAATCTATCCTTCCTAAGATGTGGGGCTCAGATCTGTTCGTTGTACTCCGAGTGGGGTCTAACCAGGGTTTTGTATGACTGCAGCATAACTTCCTCATCCTTATACTTGAGGGGACTTAAAAGAAGAGGCGATGATGTGGCGGTATTATCATTGGACTATTAATCCAGAGATCCAGGTAATGTTCTAGGGACACAGGTTTGAAACCTGTTGTGGTGGATGGGAGAGTTTGAAGCCAATAAAAATTTGGAATTGAGAGTCTAATGATGACCATGAACCCATTGTCGATGGTCAGGAAAACCCATCTGGTTCACTCATGTCTTTTAGGGAAGGCAGCTGCCATTCATACCTGGTCCCACCTGTGACTCCAGACCCACAGCAATGTGGCCATCTCTTAACTGCTGTCTGGGCAATTAGGGATGGACAATAAATGTTGGCCTAGCCAACGACGTCCTCATCCTAAAGGCCAGCATTGCGTTGGCTTTCTTGATTATTTTCTGCACCCATTTGTAGCACTTAAATTCTGCACCTGAACCCCAGTTTCTCTTTGGACATTCACTGTATTTAACTTCACACCATCTTGAAAGTTTTTTTTTTAATTCATTCATGGGATGAGGACGTCGCTGACCAGGCAGTATTTATTGCCCATCCCTAATTGCCCAGAGGGCAGTTAAGAGCCAACCACATTGCTGTGGGTCTGCAGTCACATGTAGGCCAGACCAGGTAAGGATGGCACTTTCCTTCCCTAAGGGACATTAGTGAACCAGCATCCTGGGTTTAATATTGACACAAAACCGAACTAGCCATTTAAATACTGTGACTACAAAGGTAGGTCATAGGATAAAAATATCACAGTGAGTAACTCAACCTCCTGACTTCCCAAAGCCTGTCTATCAGTTTACAAGGCACAAGTCAGGAGTGGGATGGAATACTCCCCACTTGCCTGGATGGGTGCAGCCCCAACAGCTCTCTGGGAGCTTGACACCATCCAGGACAAAGCTGCCCGCTTGATTGACACCACATCCACCACCTTAATACCCACTCCATCATCAATGCTTAGCACCAGCAGTGTGTACTGTTTGTAAGATGTGGCACGGTAAGTCACCAAGGATCCCTCTGGCACCTTACAAACACATAACCACATCTATCTGGAAGGACAAGGGCAGCAGATACATGGGAACACCACCCCCTGCAAGTTCCCCTCCAAGCCGCTCACCATCCTGTCTTGGGAATATATCGCTGTTCCTTCGCTGTGGCTAGGCCAAAGTCCTGGAATTCTCTCCCTAGGGGTATTGCAGGTCTGACTGCAGCAGTTCAAGAAGGCAGCTCACCACCTTCTAAAAGGGCAACTAGGAACAGGCAATAAATTCTGACCCAGACAGTGATGCCCACCTCCCACAAGTGGGGGAAAAACAATCTGTGTTGGTGTGGGACTGAAGTCACACAGCACCTGAGACTGAAGATTCAATCACGATCCAGTCAATTTTATGACAATCTCAAGTATGTATTTTTAAAAAAATGAAATTTAAAAAAAATCAAGGTCACTGTTACCAGAGGCTTTCAAAATTGTTCTTTCAGGAAATGAAACTAGTTCACGGTTATCCTCCAGGTGAGAACCCTGCTGTCTTTACCCAGTCCAATCCAACATATTGACTCAAAACCACACCATTGTAGTTAACTCTTAACTAACCCCTTAGCAGCCTCTCTGTTTAATCAAACTGCAGCCATTAAGGAACAGGAAATAAACCTCTCGGCCTAACTAGTTTGTTCTGGTGTTCTGCAGCAGACAGTATCCGTGCCATTCTACCTTCATAAACCACAACAGGCTTTTCTGTTCTTTATCTCTCATACATTTATCTCGTTACCCTTAGAGGGCATCCCTCCCACATTCTCCTCACTCTCTTAGTCAAGACATTTCCCAGGACTGCTGCACCATCCCTCGGCAGCATTTATATCACCTCTTTCGTCCTTATTCACAGGATGTGGGCTGCACCAACTGGGCCAGCATTTATTGCCCAACCCTAATTCCCCAACGATGTGGGAATTAATATAAAGACAATCAGACGGAGGGGCAGAAGTAGGCCATTGAGTCTGCTCCCCCATTCAATGAGATCATGGTTGAGCTGATCATCCTCAACTCCACTTTCCTGCCTTTTTCCCCATAACCCTTGATTCCCTTACTGATTAAAATCTGTCTATCTCAGCCTCGAATATACTGAATGACCCAGCCTCTACAGTCCTCTGCGGAAAAGAATTCCACAGCTTCATTCCCTCTGAGAGCAGAAATTC